GGCGGGTTTCTGGGATATACCCTTTGGGTGGTTGATGATGCATGGAGGGGATTGGAACCATGGCAGTGAGATGATATACGATGGAATTAATGTAAGACAGGTTCTCCCATGTAAACTATCATATAATTCACAATAAAACATTAAAATAAAAAGAGTAGACCTCTGTTTTTTGGAAGGTACCCTAACGAGACTAAGACATATGTATTAGTGAGAGAACCTGTCTGCAGTCATCCACTGATCAGAGACATGTTGAAACATTTTGTGTGGAATAAGTCTGTGCATGTATAAACTGAAATCCTAGTAGCAGTACTTACTGACTTACCATTGTTCCTATATTAAATCTACCTTTGGTACAGTTACTGAAATCCTCATCTGGCTGAAAATGCTGACAATATATTTCATACATTTCTTTTAATCTATTAGCAATAGCCTGGGTTGGATCTCTAGAACATGTCCTAAAAATTAACAAGAAAAAAGAAAAAAATCTGAGACTAAATCTTTATGAGAACAGACAGCCTCATCTTTCTCACCAAAGTGGCTGGTGGGTTTGAACCACCCACTTTAACCCACTGCACCAATAGGGCTCCTAGAGAGTTAGAAGGGCCTGGAATTACTCTGGAACAACCCAGGGATCCATTTGCCATCCCCAGTAAGCTATTCCCTAAGTGTTATTGTTGTTGTTAAGTGCTGTCAAGTTGGTTCCAACTCATAGTGACCCTGTATAGGATTTCTGAGGAGCAGCTGGTGGGTTTGAAATGCCGTCCTTATGGTTCGCATTACACCAGAAGTCCTAAGTGTTCATATGCATCCAAAATAGAAACTTCCTTACGAAACCTAAGACCCCAGTTTCAAAAGGTCTATGATGATATGAACTAGCCCAGATAACTCCGCTCAGAAGAAAAAAAAATAGTCCCTGGAAGAAGATTAGTTCATCAAAAGCCTCCAAGTACCTCTATGGTTTTTCATACAGAAAATGCAAAGTACAATAAACAATAACCATACGCACAGAACATGAATCTGAAGGAAAAGATTAGCATGTGGCCTGTGATGCAATTTAGAAAGTAAGTGATTTACCACTTCACACCAATGAGAAGAGCTACAATGAAAAATACTGATCCTAACAAGTACCGCAAGGAGGCAGAGCAACTGGCACCATCATACGCTGCAGGGAGGAAATACAATGCTATAATCGTGTTGCAAAACATTTTCAAATGATTTCCAACAATTTAATCTTACATCTATTGTATGACACCTCCATTCCATTGCTTGAAGTGTAACCAAAAAATTTAAAAAGTAAATAAATGTCCACACTATGGGAAAGAAGGGAAAAGTTTTGATAGGACTAAGAAGGGAAATATAAAGGCACACAACCTGGAACATTTATACTTCTCTTAAAATTAAGTCTATTTTAAATCAATTATATATCAGCCATGTTCTTAAAAATGGTGTGGGAATCACCAAAATACATGTCTAATTAAAAATGTATGACCCCCCTCCGACACTGAAACTCAAAGGTAACACACAAGCAGCCATGTATGCTCGCTGGCAACCATGTTGGTCTATGTGTGAGTGGAAGTAGGGGAAAGGCAGTAATGTAAATATGGATTGAGTTCAACCACGATTCCATACACTCTTGTCGACCTTGAGATGAGAGAGAGAAGAGAAAGGGCTGGTTGGTCTGAAGTCTGGGGAGACTTAGGAACTCCTGAGCCTTATGGACACTGTCCTAGATTTGCAGGGCTAGAGCTGAGAGTGTAGCATCCAACTGATATAAAGTGGGAGGACATGGACAAGAATGCCCAAATTTTCAAATAGTACCCATGTGACTTAGCTTCAGTGACTTGATGACCAGAGCTCAACTAGAGGAAGATAAAGAAATTTGATAAAGGAAGCAAGTATAAATTGCTATACAATTTGATGAGCTTGACCTATACTTATGGATGTAGTAGCTCAAAATACCAACCGATAGGGAAAGAGTCTTCACATCAAGGATCAAGCCTGTCCCCTTAGTATATAGGGTTGATGTTGTTGTTGTTGTGTGCCGTGGAGTCGGTTCCGACCCATAGCGACCCTGTACAGGGTTTCCGAGGCTGTAAATCTATACGGGAGCAGAAAGCCTCATCTTTCTCCCGTGGAACAGCTGGTAGTTTCAAACTGCTGACCTTAAGGTTCACAGCCCGATTCGTAACCACTACGCTACCAGAGCTCCTTATACAGGGTTGAAAGGAACAGGCAAATTAATCATTGGCTACCTAAAATGGGGGGGGGGGGTCTATCAAGGAACAAAGTGGCTGGCTTACAAATTTTCAAGAGGCAGTTTAGTTTCAGAGTCTGCAGGGGAAGGTAGAATCTCCAATGGATAGTTTTCATCTTGTCTACATGGGTCTGGTGAAAGGAGTTGGGGATAAGGCTCTTTTGATTTTATAGTAAGTGATTGTTATCATGACTAATTGCTGTTGTCACAACTGGACACTAGAACTATCAAAAGAGAAGAGCATGAGCGGAACGTGGGACCCTAACCAGAGAAGCAGCAATACCAGAGATGGAGGCAGAAGTGATGGCATGAAGAGATAGAGCTGCTGAAGACTCTAGACTCATAGAAAGAGAAAGGCTGTGTGCTAGCGACCAGGAGGCAGGCTTGCATAATGTGCCCCTGGGTTGTTTAAATGATTATATATTCCCGAGTGTTTTTGTGTACATCAAAAAACAAAACAAAAACAGAGGGAATGATGCACAGAAGGGATTGTAATCATTGCAGTGAAACAAAATACGATAGGATGAGTGCAAAACTAATGCTCTCCCATGTAAACTATCACTCAATTCACAGTATAAGCTTAAAAAAAAAAATACTAAAATGAAAAAAGATCTAGTACTGAAAATAAAATGTTTTAAAACTCTTAGGAGGAAATATAGGGGGATACCATTATGGGGTAGAATGCAATTTCTCAAACAAACAAAAAATATATAGTGATGCTTTTTCAGAATAGAAAACCCTGCAAAATATAAAAATTGATAAAGCACTTCATAACACGGGAAAATAATTTAAATTTTAAATATGAAAGATGAAAATTATATCAGTTAATGAAACCTAAACTATGAAATGATAGACAAACAAAAAAAAAATTTACAGGGTATGAAAATATAGATCAATCCCTGGCAAGACTGATCAAGGACTGAAAAAGATTCACACCATAAATGTGGAAGATATCATCACCATGGATTTGGAATACATATACATTTTACTACAAGTAAACTTAGGAAAATTAATTTGAAGTTCACAAAATGAAGATATTCTACAAGCAACTGAACAACATAGTTATACTAAGAAATCTCAAAAATCGTATATCCATTCAATAAGTTGTGGATGTTTAGAAAATTTTTCTTACAAATGAGTACCAAATCCTAGTACCTGAACTCTATCTTTCCCAAAGAATTGAGAAAGAAAGAATGCAAATTTTTAATAACCTCTTTCAAAGAATAGATACAGTATTAGCATTCCCTAAGAGATTTTATGAGATTCAAAAAACATGATGTAAAACTGATAAAGAATATTATATGAAAATAAAATAAAAGGTTTTTATGCTTCATGACAACCACCTACAAAACAAAATTTTAAAAATTATTTCAAAAATAGTTGCCACTTCTATTTGTATGTATACAATTAAATAACATTACTTACATTTCCCATGTTGTACAATCATTATCACTATGTTGTTGTTTTTAAGTGCCATTGAGTCAATTCTGACCCATAGCGACCCTGTATAGGGTTTCCAAGGAGCGTCTGGTGAGCTTGAACCGCCAACCTTGAAGTCCAAATGACTTTGCAGTCTGGCAGATATCAATTAAACTATATCAATAATCATTTTAAATATAAAATGTGTAAATATAAAAGACAGCTGATAGGAATGGCTAAAAGAAAAAAGAACTACATGTTCTCTAGAAGTAACCAACTTTAAAAATAAAGGCACAGAAAAATTAAAAGTAAAGTAAAGGTATGGAGAAAGACAGAGCATAAAAAGCTATAGAACAGCTTTATTAATTTCAGACACAGCAAATTTAACATCAGGAAGTTTATTAGGGGTAAACAAGGGCATTACATAATTATAAAGGGGTCAACCCTTCAAGGTAAAATATAAATCCTGAAAAGCATATGTGTATAACAATAGAGCTTCCAAAATGTGACAAAAATTTCTAGAAATGCAAGGAGAAATGAACAAAGCCATTCTTACAGTTGAAAACTTCAACACTTCTCTATCAGTAACTGATAAGACTAGCCAAACTAAACAGTACCATCAACAGCTTCTAATAGAATTTATGAAATACTTCATCCAACAACAGCAAAATACACATTCTTCTCAAGCTCATACAGAGCATTCATGAAGACAGACCACAATTGAGGCAATAAAACAAATCTTAACAAATTTAAATGATTGTTGTTGTTGTTAAAGTGTTATAGAGTTAGTTTATAGCGACCCTGTATAGGTTTCCGAGGAATAACTGGTGGGTTTGAACCTCTGACCTTGTGGTTCAACCTGACCTTGCAGTCCAGCATGGTATCGTGCATCACCATACCAGAACTAACGTTTAAATGATAGAATCATATAAAGTATGCTCTCAGACACAATAGAATTACACTAGACATCAATAATAGATAGTAGCGTAGTGGTTACGAATCGGGCTGCGAACCACAAGGTCAGCAGTTCGAAACTACCAGCTGTTCCACAGGAGAAAGATGAGGCTTTCTGCTCCTGTAAAGATTAACAGCTTCGGAAACCCTGTACAGGGTCACTATGAGTCGGAACCGACTCCACAGCACATAACAACAACAACAACAAAACATCCCCAAAGATTACATAGCACATATCAAAGTATCATATGGCTTGAAGAAGTTACAAAGGAAATTTTTTAAAATACAATGAATTAAATGAAAATGAAAATACAATTCATCACAAGTTGTGGGGTGAAGTGAAAGAAACACTTGGAAATTTATAGCACTGAATGCATATATTAGAAAGATCAAAAACTTAGCTTTTAATTTAGGAAATTTGAAACAGGTGCAAGTTAAATTCAAAGTAATCTGAAAGAAATAATAAAAACAAGAGCAGAAATCAATGAAAATGAAAATAGGAAGGTAATATAGAAGATCCATGAAACCAAAGGGTAATTCTTGAAAAGATAATAAAATTCATGGACCTCTAGGCCAGTTGACCAAGAAAAAAAAGAGAAGCCACAAATTACTGATACTATAAATAATATGGGGGTTATCACAATTCATCCCATGGGCATTAAAATAATAGCAATGTAATAATATAAATAATGGATTCCTGGTGTGGTGCTGCTATAGGATCAGCACCGGACTACGAACCACAGGTCAGCAGTTCAAATCTACCAACTGCTCCTCAGAAACAGGATCACTATGAACCAACTCGAAGGCAATTAACAAAAACCACAATACAAATAAATCTTTTCCCCCACATTTGACAACTTAAAGGAAATAGACCAATTCCTTTAAAAAGATAATCTAATTCCTTTAAAAAGAGCAAGAAATAAATTATCTGAATAGACATATAGCTATAAAGAAATTGAATACATAATTAATAACTTTTGAAAAACTGAAAGCACCAGATTCAGAAAGTTTCACTGATGAATTATTCCAAACATTTAACTAATTATCACCAATCCTTTTCAAACTCATTCAGAAAACAGAGACAGCATGAACATTTCCTAACTCATTCCATGAGGGCCAGCCAGCATTACCCTAATACAAAATCTAGTCAAAGGAAAGTTACAGAGTAAGATCTCTCATGAATATTGACCAAAAATTCTTAATAATGTACAAACAAATGTAATTATACAAGGTAAAAAAAAAAAAAAAAAAAAGGATGATACACCATTTCTAAGTAGGATTTCTCCTGGGTATGCAGGACTTGTTTAACACTCAAAAATCAATTAATATAATTCATCATATCAAGATACTACAAAAGAAAAATCATACGATCACATCAATACATGTGGGGAAAAATATTAGACACAATCCAAAACCCATTCATGCAAAATTTCTCAGCAAATTTAGGAATAGACGGAAACATCCTCTGGTTGAAAAGGGTATTTACCAAAAAAAAAAAAAAAACTACACATAGCTTACTACTTAAAATGGTTAAGATCTTAGATTCTTTACCACTAAAAGCAGGAACAAAACAAAGGT